AGCAGATGAAATGCAGCTGAGATAGAAACTGGCTACCTGCTACTCACAGTGTGGTCTCTGGATCACTTGGAGGGTTTGTTAGGAATTTAGAAACTCAACATCCCTTGTCCCCAAGACACAGCAAAGCAGAATATACATCTTGCTCTGATGATTTCTTTGATTTGATGATTCAAACTTGAGAAGCAAAAAAAAAAAAAACTTGAGAAGCAGAGCTCTAACTTCCCGTTCAGTTTTGAATAGGAGAGTATATTGCATATACTTCAGCCTGACAGGGAGGTCTTCATCTCTGCCCACCAAAATGATGAAAACACATTTACCAAGAGATGCCTATGGTTGACTTCCCCAGCTCTCGGGATGGGCCTGAAAAAAGCAGTCTTTATTTGGGGATGCTACTAACACACCTTGCCTCCCAGTGAATGCATCACAGTTGATGTAGCCCCGAGGCTTCATTGTCCACACCCATTAGAAATATAGATTAATACTTTTCATTTGGCCAGAGAGAGCTGCCTATTAACCCTAATTAACCTGGGCTAGTTAAAGGCACCAGCCTAGAATGCCTTAGTCCCGATGGCCCATGAGATGGAATCTAAGAGCCACATAGATCAACAGATGCTGCTCTGTAGAAATTATAAAGCCCACTGAGGCACCTCCACCTACCTCTAGTGGAGAGGGATAGGTAACTGCTGTAAGCCAGGCCCCAAAGAGAAAGAAGGCAAAGCAGCAGGGTGGCGAGCTGCTGGGCTTCTCTTAGAAGCCAGGCTCACGTATTCATCGCAAGACCAGGTTTTTATTTCCTTGGGGAGTTCACCATCTCTTAATCACAAAAGCAATAAGGATTTCCAATATGTTCCTGTGCCGTGCCTAATCAGTTGTTCCAGCTGCCAGTCATCAGCCATGACTGGAAGTTCACTTAAAAGCCCTCTTCCAGCTTTGAACACAGCACTGACCCCCAAGGTGACACAGACAATGAAGGCCGCCTGTGTGTGCTGCTTGATTTGATCACAACAGTTTTGTTAATATTGTCCTGTATTCTGGAGGGATCCGTTCTCTTCCTTATGCTTTGATCGATAGGCCGCGTTGTATGCCCCCTTGGTTGAGTTGGGAAAATCATTTTGAGTGTGCATGGAAGGAAATTTTTCCTTTTGTGAATGACCTCATAATTTCATTCTAACATGGAGATTTTTCTTCCTAAGGTTAGAAATCATTTGGCAAAGTTTGAGTATTTGTCAGTAAGCATGTTTTGTAGTGAGTAAGTCTGTGAGAAGTCAGCAGGTATTCAGGCTCAAAGCATTAAAAGAGATTAGCACCTGCCTCACCTGCCTGGTACCAAGGAGGTGCTGGAATATTGTGTTTTAATGAACAAATGCATAAATACATTTGAAAAATTCTTGGGCTATGGTAATTAAGATTGCTTCTGGATGTGCAGTGTGATAAAATCAGATATTCCTAGAAGTTGTGTAAACTGAAAAGACATTTTCTGTGCCATAATGACAATTTCTGAGAAATACAGGTCTTTGGTAGAGGCTTGGGACAATCCTATTGAAGCCATAGCTATCTGACTCCAGAGAGTTGTTCATTTTATTAGAAGGGTATGTGAGATGGGAATTGGATGACTATTAGAAAGTGTCTCAATATTTTCTCCAAATTTCTTGGCATTATTTTGGTCACAGGTGTGAACTACAACCAGTAATCCTGTCCTGAATTCTGTATGCCAAGTGATCTATATAAACATTGAATTATAAGCTTTTACTATTAGGTTGTAACTCACCAGAAACAAGATTTTCCTATACTTCTCGTACCATTTAACATGGAAAGAAGCAGGTCATGTGCTTTGTTTTAGCATCAGGGTGATTTATTAAATCCTCCATAAGAAATTGTTCAGCATACTTTCCAAACTCAGAAACTTTACATTGAACTCTGAAGCCTTATATTTCTTATTCTTATGAGGCCCCTGTCAGAAGAACACTTCCTATTTCGGTGTCATGAATCTGCTGTAGCAGTAAAGGGCCTGGGCACATGTGGACCTCAGCACAGTTGGAAGACAGGTTCTTGAGCCTTTAGCCCTGTACCAGACACCTTATATATACTGCCTCACAATCTCTCCAACACTTACCTCTCCTGGCCATTGCTGTGGCAGCTGTTAAACAGGCATAGCTTGACGGTCCCTTGCATCAACTGCACCACATGCTCCTGTTTTCTGCCCCAAATTTTCTCCAGTGCTCCACTCTGGGTCATATGCATACCTTGAAGTATGGAAATTAACACTTCCCTGGGGCAACCCTTGACCAATGGGGATAGGAGTTGGTAGATAAAAGTTCCTTTCTGTCCATGTCCTACACACTGAGCCCCACAATGGAGTCCATTGGCATTTAGAGTGGGTTTGTCTTTGTTCATTCAACAAACACAATGTTGTTGGAGATACCAGGCACCAAGGATGTCTTGTTCCCTAGTATACCCCAAGACCTAGCTCCTTGTCTGCTACGTGGGAGGTACTCCATAAGTGTTTGCGGAATAATTGTCTGCTCAGAGCATAATGAGGTAGAGGACATTATGAGCAAAAGCACAGTAGTATAAATTGCCATGAAATGTTTGAGATGTAGTCAGATGTCTCCTTTGGCCGAAGCTTAGGGGGTATTGTGGAGCCATAAATAAAATAGTGTATTAAAGTGCTTTGAAGTTCAATGCTCTATACTATTAAGTCTTGGTATTTTTGTAGAATTGATGTAAACAAGTCTTTTCCCCTGGCTGGGTTGCAACCTCCTCAATGACAGAGATTCACAAATGTAGAGTGGCTAATGTGTAGTAGACACTTAATAAATATTGAATTAAAAATAATGGTGGATGATGGATGGATGGATGGATGGATAATGAATGGTTTGGTCCTGACTATTAAATAAGATGAAGAACAGACCTTCAACCAATTCTGACTTTGAGTGAGTGACAGGCTATGAACAATACTAAAATTTCCAGCCTACTTCATTGTGCTAATACCAAATGTAGCAAAGTAGTTAATAGAGACCACTGGGAAATACCACATTTTCTGTGGTACCACAGAGTAGAGCATAGAGTATGCACCACAAGTTCTCTGTTGCCCACTGGGTTATAAACAGCAAGGGCAATGCTTCCCTTGTGATAAACACAAAGACATACTACAGAAATACCTCCAGAGGAAAATAAGTGATGGGTATATTCAGCAACTACAACAACAACAAGAAGCTAACATTTGTACACTAAATTGGGGCAGGGGGAGTTAGCCGCACTTTCTCTGTGACCTCTTATTATTCCGTTAGTTTCTGGAATAGTATATAAAACACCAAGCTCCATGCTCACAAACACCAATGTTGAAACTATTGCCACAGTTGATCCAAATAGCCTTTTCCCCTGAGTAAAATTATTATTTGGAATACAAGCAGAATTGTGGTTCCCTGAGCTAGCAGAGCATAAATGAGGGTAGTGATTCATAAGGTGACTCTAGTGAGTTTGCAAATGTGCAACTTTTATAGAGGCTGACGCACACAACAGAGGCTTTGCCTTGCCTTTTGAGCTGGTAAGCACTTTCTGGCCTCACTACCTCTTCAGGATGCTGAGGGCTCTGGAGGATGCAGACTTCTGAGGACAAGCCTTAACCTGACAGAATGCTGATTTACCAGAAATAAACCCTTCAAATCAGATCACACCCCTGTCAGTAGCTTTTTGAGCGGGAAGATGGTAATTCTGCCTCTTCACATGTTCCTTTAAGTACTTGAACTCTTGTTCCATTGGATTAAGATTTTGGGGGCTGGGTCATCCGGGGTCTTAATTCTATCCTGGAAAGGTTGGAGGAAAGAGGTACTGGTCTAAAAATACTACTCCCTGAACTTTTAAACCTTCAACTCTTTTTGATAATGTGTCTTCTCTTTCTTAATCCCAAACCTGATTTCTTTTATTTAAAAAAAATCCATTTATTCTTTGATATCAGCAGTCTAAGTTCCAAAAGAGCAGATATGGGTATAGAGCTGAGCATGGATAGCATTGTACAGAGAAGGAAGTTCAGAGAGTCCATGTAATGATGCCAGTGTGATTGCGCATAATGAGGTGTCTGCCGAGTGGGTCCCAGACACTGAGATCCTCTCTGATAGACTCTGAAAGTGACAAGCCCCAAGTTCTTCTGCAACATAGTACCAATTAGCTGATCTAAATGGGCACATATTCAAGTTTGAGGTCACATACAGTTCTCAAAGGCGAGACTGCCCCTACAAATGGAGTTCTAAACCTCATAATCTGTATCACAATAGGCAACAGTGGGGTAAGACCCCCCACATGCTGTGATTGAGACCCCCATTTTCCTATTTTGTGGTCTTGGGAGAGCACTTCTTTTTGATTTTGATGAAGACCAAGTTTATTCATCACACTATCCGGGAAATGTGTGGGGTCAGTTAGACTCTAAAGTTAAAAGGATGTAGGATCTTGTGCTGATGCTGGGATCAGCAGAGCTCCATTCTCATTACATTGATTGAGCATTGGCAGAGCCACCCATCTGACTCACTGTGGCTCCCTGCAGCGGGAGTGGGGGGTTGTGGGGGGGTGGGTTACTGACAGTCTTGTGCCATTCCCTGTCAGCTGACCAAATATTCTGTTACCTGATTTTCATCCTCTGTGACTAAAAAGCATGCACACAGAAACCTTTGAATAGATGCAAACAGTACAAGATTGATTAATTATACAGTGGCCAGACAGGGAACTGGCAGGGCAGGGCAGCTCTTAGGAGACAGACCGTGAACACCAGCCTTGAGCGAGTGAATGTGAGTTCCTGAGATGGCAGTTAGGCATATTAGCCAAGGAACCTGTTCCACCACAAACACAAAAGCTGTGTATATCCAAGAAGGGGAGAACCATTCCCTGAGAGCCACCCAGAGAAAAACAAACAAGCCCCTAAAATATGCTTCCTGTCAGCCTTCAATATTTAAAAAATGTGTGCTTCCTTTGGGGTGAGTCTCATGCTTCTTTTTCCTTGATTTCAGCTCCCATTTTCTCCAGCAATCATTCAAGCCGAAGTGGAACAGCTGCTGGGGCCGGGCCACCCCCACATCCTGTCAGTCACCCTTCTCCAGGACATAATGTACAGGGGAGCCCCCACAACCCCTCCTCCCAGTTACCTCCACTCACAGCTGTGGACGCAGGAGCTGAGAGGTAAGGCCATCTGTCTCTCTCTCGTAATAGGTGTCGTCGCCAAACTTTTCTCCACGGAGAAGAGCTTTGACAGTTGTTGAATTTTATTAATAATCCGTTGGTGGGTTGAGTTACCCAAAGGTGACATTTTAAAAGTAGCATACACAAAACACAGAGACCAAATATCTCATTATCTGTTATATTTTTCCATTAGAAAACAGTATTGGCAAAAGCTGCTAAAGTGTCAGGTGCTGGAAAGCTGCATCAGAATGTCCCTGTCTTTTTTACTTTTCCATAGTTTATTTTAGGGACTCAATTTTAAGGTAATATATGCACAGGCTGAGGTGTTTTCCAGATGTAAGATGGTACCCCAGTTAGATAGTAGTGTAAGCGTGTGTGTTAGCATTTAATTACTTTGGCAAAATACCTGAGATAATGAACCTATAAGGAGGAAAGGTTTGTTTGGGCTCCTGGTTTCAGAGGTTTGAGTTCATGGTTACATGGCCATGTTTCTTTGGTCTGTGGCAGCACATTTCATCATAGTGGAAGAACATGGTGGAGGAGGCCTGTTCCCCTCATTGCAACCAAGACCAAAGAGAGATGGGAAGGGACGGGTATCACCTAACTTCCTTCCACTAGGCCCCACCTTTTAAAGGTTCCATTACCTCCCAGTAGTGCCACAGGCTGGTGGCCTATTCGTCAACACATGCCCAATGGGGAACATTCAAGATCCAAAGTGCAGGAGCTTAGGAGCAGAGCATAAAAAGCCATAGACCAGAAGGGAGCTGGCTGTTCACTGGAAACTTTACATTGATGTAACTCGAATAAAGTTTTCTGGGGGAGAATCTATAAACAACTCTTATCTTCATGATATTCTTACTTCTGAATTCTCTACTGGCTCCAGAGATTTTGATGAACCCTTCTCATATTTCTGCTCCTGTGTGTTTTTGAATATCACAAACCAAAAGAAGAATCTGCATAGTAAGTAAAGTGATCTAGGCATTGAGGGAAAGCCAAGGCTCTTCCAGATGAATAAATGCAAAATAGCATCCCTGACAATAAGAAGAACATGTACAAGATGTGAGGTAGGAGAGGAGGCGCATCAGGGAGGTCTCAGATAGTAGGCCTCTAGGGTGCACATGGCTGATGGAGGCACATCATGATAATGGTGGGCCGGCTCATGTGGGACCATATTTTGTATGCTATGGTAAGGAATTTCCCCCCTTATCCTACTGTAAGCAAAGAACTATTATGGGCTTTTTATTGGAAAGAAACACAATCATATTGACATCATGGGGACAAGATAATGGAGTAATTGAAGTTGGAATAGGGGGAAAAAGGCTGAGGCTGCTACTGGAAACCATGAGAGCAATATGATAACTTTTAGTAAGGCAAAGAAATAAGGATTTGCTATAGGAAGAAAAACTGCTCATTATTTTACACACACACACACACACACACACACACGAGGAGGGACCAAAATCAATTTCTGAGTTTTACCCCTAGAAACCAAGATGGAAAATTGTACCATTAATACAATATGCAGTAACATGGGGGGAAAGAGGCTGTTGGGTGGAGAGAAGGTGGGGATGATGAATTGACTTTAGAGGGGTTTGAGTTTTAAAATTTTTAGTTTTAGGGGATTGTGAAAGATATATGTACATTTGTCCAATGGACAATTAGAGATATGAATCCAAAGATCAGACTTATTTTAACAGTTCTGTGGGTGTGGACAATGCTCTAGCTTCCTCTCAGTCTCAGTAAGCAAAGCTCAAGTGATTATCATCCATTAAGTTCACAGACACTGTTCAGAGACACACCTTTCCAGTTATCTGGTATATTCCTGTAAGTTGAGATGAGCTTATTTCTTCTAACATTTTATATAGTTTCCAATTGGGTTTAAAATTCTATTAGCTGTGGGCTTTTTGTCATCTCATTTCTTTCTGTCTGGCTGAGAATCATACCCTACAAGTTCACTTCTTCACTGCGTCTCTTTATTAATAGTCGTAACAACCCCTAACAAAAATATCAAAGGAAAGTAATCATTGGGTTGCCTTCTTGTATAGTCCTTTTAAAGAGTACATGTAAGAAAAGATTTTAAGCAGTATTGTCTTTAGAAACAACTGAGATAATGCAGTTACCTGATGTTTGCATCCCAGCTCTGACAGTTGCTAATTGACTGTGGGCAAGTGCCTTAGCTGCTCTTCTTGCTTGTTTTTGACATTTTATTTTATTTCATATCTTTTATGTTTTTAGTTCCTTCTTCAAAATTTTTAAGTATACTATAATGATACCCACATATACTGCATCCATATTCACCCACTGTTCATATTTTGCCATTTTGTCTTTCTCTCTTTCTCTCACCACCCCTTATGTGGGAGATACTATACTTGTTTACTTGCTTATTAGTTTTAAACCATTTGAGAGATACTTGCAAATATCATTGAACTCTATCCATAATTATTACTTCAATAGAGATCTATTTAGAAGAACATTCTCCTCCATAAATCCAATACAACAATCATAATCAGGATATTTTAACACTGATACATTACTGTTATCTAATAAATTATTGATATTCAGATTTCCCAAATTTTGTGAATAATGTCCTTTATAGCTAAAGGGTGTTTTTTAATTTTTCTTTCCTTTTTATGAGTCAGGGCTCTAAAAAGGATCACACAATGCACTTAATTCTCATTTCTTTATAGTCTCCTTGAATCTAATGGAGTCCCTCAGCTTTATCATCATCATTATCACCATTGTCTTTCAGGACACTGATGTTTTTTGAGGAACTCAAGACATTTGTTTTGCACAGTGCTCCATGGTTTGGGTTTGTCTGATTGTTTCCTCCTGAAACATTTTTGGTAGGAATACTGCATAGGTGTTCCTTAGCTTTTTTTTTTTTTTTTTTTTTGGTTTTATCGTTTATTGATTTTATTTTTTTTAAATACACGAGAGTAATGGAATGCATTACAATTCTTATTACACATATAGAGCACAATTTTTCATATCTCTGTATATAAAGTATATTTACACCAATTCATGCCTTTATACATGTAGTTTTTTGCATTACAATTCTTATTACAGATATATACCACAATTTTTCATATCTCTGTTTGTATATAAAGGATGTTGACACCCAATTCAAGTCTTCATACATGTACTTTGGATAATGATGTCCATCACATTCCACAGCCCTTGCTAATCCCCTGCCCCTCCCTTTCCCTCCCACCCCTCTTCCCTATCTAGAATTCATCTAATCCTTCCATGCTCTCCCTCCCTATCCCACTATGAGTCAGCCTATTATATCAAAGAAAACATGCAGCATTTGGATTTTGTGGATTGGCTAACTTCACTTAGCATTATCTTCTCCAATGCCATCCATTTACCTGCAAATGCCATGATTTTATTCTTTTTAATGCTGAGTAAAATTCTATTGTGTATATATGCCATATTTTTTTATCCATTCATCCACTGAAGGATATCTAGGTTGGCTCCACAGTTTAGCTATTGTGAATTGTGCTGGTATAAACATTGATGTGGCTGTGTCCCTGTAGTATGCTGTTTTTAAGTCATTTGGGTATGGTCCGAAGAGAGGAATAGCTGGGTCAGATGGTTGTTCCATTCCCAGATTTCCAAGGAATCTCCATACTGCTTTCCAAATTGTCTACACCAATTTACAGTCCCACCAGCAATGTATGAGTGTACCTTTTCCCCCAAATCCTCGCCAATACATATTGTTGTTTGTCTTCATAATAGCTACCATTCTGACTGGAGTGAGGTGATATCTTAGAGTAGTTTTGATTTGCATTTCTCTGATTGCTAGAGATGATGAGCATTTTTTCATGTATTTGTTGATTGATTGTATATCCTCTTCTGAGAAGTTTCTGTTCAGGTCCTTGGCCCATTTTTGATTGGGTTATTTGTTTTTTCAGTGGTTAGCTTTTTGAGTTCTTTATGTACCCTAGAGATTAGTGTTCTATCTGATATGTGAGGGGTAAAAATTTGCTCCCAAGATGTAGGCTCTGTGTTCACCTCACAGATTGCTTCTTTTGCTGAGAAGAAACTTTTTAATTTGATCCCATCCCATTTATTGATTCTTGGTTTTAATTCTTGTTCTATAGGAGTCTTATTAAGGAAGTTGGGGCCTACTCCCACATGATGAAGATTAGGCCTTTCTTTTTCTTCTATTAGACGCAGATTCTCCGGTTTAATTTCTAGGTCCTTGATCCATTTTGAGTTAAGTTTTATGCATGGTGGGAGATAGGGGTTTAATTTCATTTTGTTGCATATGGATTTCCAGTTTTCCCAGCACCATTTGTTAAAGATGCTATCTTTTCTCCAGTGCACGTTTTTGGCACATTTGTCTAATATAAAATAATTGTAATTTTGTGGGTTAGTCTCTGTGTCCTCTATTCTGTACCATTGGTCTACCAGCCTATTTTGGTGCCAATAACATGCTGTTTTTGTTAGTATTAGTCTGAGTTTTTGAGACCTCATTTGCAACTTACAGGGAATTAGAATTAAATGAACCAAAGACGTTAACATGCCTAGCATGTTATATGGCATAAAGCAGGCATGCAGTAGCTTAGCTGTGGATACTCAGGTAGATGGGACCTCGACATTACTGAGGGATTCGGGTAGGGAAGCCAGAGGATGCTATTAAGTTATCACAGTGATTGATAATATAAATAATCATGGAATAGAAGATGGAGAAAAGGGATGGGATGGTATTCTGTATGGGTTGGTGGACGTTTGTACTTTGATGGCTTTCCTTGCTGCCCTAGTCTTCTGCAGGATGTGTGTCCTGTCCCAGTGCCAACCCAACTGAATGTGAGCAAGTGTGAGTGTGGCAGGTTATCTCTTCCAATCTGGTTTGGTGAAGAGGATGACGTGTAACAGCCCTGAATTATTCACTGTGTTTTTATTAGTGACCTGGATAAAAACACGAAGAGGAAATGTGCTTACCTTCCGTTTGGGGTTTATATATCTTTGCCTCTGTTTGCCTGGGAAATCCCCCA